ATACATAAAAGCTATGTAATTGAAAATGGTTTAAGTGTGAATGCAATGTGAGAAAAAAACGTATGCATTAAAAAAAACGACTGAAAACAAATTTATCGAAATGTAAATAGAGGTTTTGTTTGGGTTGTGGGGCTGTGGGTGGTTTGGACTTTTCTTCTTTTCTCCATCTTCCTTCATGAGTAGATTTAAAATTTTTCATTATAAAAGTATTAGAAAACCTGTATACCCATTTAATAAATTACTCTGTTTCCATCATACTGAAAATCTGTTATATGAAAAACTTCAAGGATGCCATCACCAACACACACACATACAAAATGGGAGCCAGTGTATCGTAGCAAAGAGCCCAGTTTCTGGAGTCTCACTGCCTAAGGCTAAAATCAGTTTGCCACTTGCTGTCTGTCTGAACTTGAGCAAAGCTGTAATTTTTTGTGCCTGAGTTTCCTATATTATATATACACATTACAAATATATATATATAAACACATAAAATAGGGTCTTTGTGAAAAGAAAAATAATGGATGTGAAGTGTTTAGGAGAATACTTGGCTTATAGAAACACTCAGATGTTAGCTACCGCCAGCAACAGGTGAAGATGGAATGGATGTTAAAAGCCCTGTGCTTGCAAACAAGACAACTGATATTCAAAAGGAAATGACAGCCACGGCATTGGGGTGACACATCTTAGTAAGTGGAACTTCTCAATTACAGCTCTTGGGATATATCTGCATTGTATGCTATTCAAACTGCACTTAGTTTGGCCCCAAATTTTAATTACACGCATGTCTCTACTCCATGCATGAACAGGCCTTAAAAAAATCTAACACAAACCAAGAGTTTCAAACCCAAGAGGGGTTAGTTCTGTTTCTCTAAATGCTTATTTTCTAAAATAGGTTTTTCAGGTCAAATGTTTCTCAGAAACCTAAATGACAGAATGCAGACGGGGAATCAGAAGGGTTGCAGTAGTGTCTCGGGCTTTATTACAAATTCCCCTGGCTGCCTTTCAGTCAGTCAAATTCTTTTTCTTTTTCTTTTCTTTTTTTGAGGAAGATTAGCTCTGAGCTAACATCTGCCACCAATCCTCCTCTTTTTGCTGAGGAAGACTGGCCCTGAGCTAACTCCGGGCCCATCTTCCTCTACTTTATGTGGGACGCCTGCCACAGCATGGCTTGACAAGCAGTGTGTCAGTCCACACCCAGGATCCAAACCGGCGAACCCTGGGCTGCTGAAGCAGAACATGCGCACTTAACCGCTGCACCACGGGGCCGGCCCTCAGTCAGTCAAATTCTGAGACACTGGTTGCCTCAAACATAAAATAGGAAGAACTGTTTTCTTTCTTATTTCCAAGACAGTGTAAGAAGCATACACAACTCACAGATCTGAGGGAAGTTTATACAAATTCAGATATTGGTATCCAGTGCTGCTAGGCTGCCCTTCTCATCTCATGACAACTCATAAAAAGCTGACTGGCTGCCTTCTTCTTCTTATTCCCATTAACATGTAGTTAGTTAGTTCCTAATCAGACGGGCTTTGAGTGTGAATCAAATTAAATTAGCGTGTGCAGAAAAGGCATCAAAACGTACCCTCACACAGTAAAGGACTGTTAAGAGCACGTGACGGTTAATTTTATGTCAACTTGACTGGGTCATGGGGTATTTGGTCAAACAGTATTCTGGGTGTTTCTGTGAGGGTGTTCTGGATGAGATTAACACTTAAATTGGTAGACTAAGTAAATCAGATTGCCCTCCCTAATGTGTGTGGGCCTCATCCAATCAGTTGAAGGCCTAAACAGAACAAAAGGTTGACCCTCTCTTGAGTAATTCTCCTGCCTGACGGCCTCTGAACCAGAATGTCTGCTCTTCCAGCCTGCTAACCTTGGGACCTGAACTGGGACATCAGCTCTGCAGATTTTGGACTTTCCAGCCTCCATAATTGCATGAGCCAATTCCTTATGATAAATCCCTTTACATATATGCATATCCTACTAGTTCTGTTTCCCTGGAGAACCCTAATACAGAGCAATTCCATTATCAGACTGAAATTCTGCAGATGGAACTCGAGAGAATTCAGATTATGCTTGAAAGCCAAAGGGAAGGCAGGTTTTTTTCTAACAACAACAAAGGTCATATGTAGCTACATTCTCAAGTCTCTGGTATTTATGGCCGAATCAAAAATACACGTAGCGTCTTTTCCAACCCTGCCACTCTCTGTGGCTTCCCACCTGGCCCAGCCTGCAGCTTTGGGATCGTTCAGCTTTAATAAATGAGTCACTTTCACAGCTGAGGACTTTTCCCATCCATAGCGACCCAAAATGGGCGGGGGGCAAAGGGGACTGCGGTCTGTTTCCTCGGGCAATCAGCTCACTGGATTTTACAAAATACCACGGAGATTTTCACATCTTCTAACCACGGCCTTAGATCAAGTCAAAAGCAGGCCACTGCCTACAAAAGGACGACGACAGGCAGGAAACGTCTCATGTCAGCTGGGACAGTGTCCTGAGGACAGAAGACGAACCACCTAAAGAAAAGAGTTAAATCTGGAGAAAATAGGAAAAAAACGCAGAACCATAGCATACTTTACCAATAGCTAGGGAAAGTGAATTAGCAATATCTCTTGGAGTAATTTTGGCTCATTAGCAGTGACAAAAGAGCAAACCATCACTTACTGCTGAGGAGGCTTCCTTGACCTGTGGTCTCTTTTTCCCTGCTTGTTTGGTCACTCAGCTGTTCTGTTCAGAGAAGAAAGCCAGGGCAGTCACAGTCCCACAGCTCTGTTCTCAGCCCTTCCTTGGCTCTCTCACAACCTCAGACCTTGAGTCTGCAGGGAACGCTTATGTTTTCTTTTTGGCCGTAGACCAGCTGAGTGGTTGGAGGGGCGTCTTGTCTCAAACACGGAAAATTCTCTAGGAAAGGGCCACAACAATATCCAAGTTCCAAAAAATTCTGTGTAAGAGGTAGCACCCAAATGATAGGATACAATTATTTTTAGTATAATCACATTTCTAATCATGTAAATATTTTCTCCTTCCTCATCTTTGCTTTCCCTTTTCTTTATGGATAGAAACGCAGAGAGGAATTAGTTATATTTCAACTTCTTCTTTAATTAATCTCAGGCCTCTAATGTTCACCAATCAGGAGAGAAAACCCAGAACGGCTGGCAGGCCAGTGTCTAGCAATGCTTGAAAAAGCAGGTATACCCTGACTCAGCATATGGGAAAAGAAGGCATGTTCAGTTTTTTTTAAATAGTCATACTTCCAAGCAGTATTTGGGGTGTTACATCAAGTACAGAATTCGTATTAGACAATTGGTACTAGTAAATTAACAGATAAACGGAATAACATTTACCTTCATTTTTTTGGTATTTAAAAAATAGTCTCCATTTCTGCAATATTCTTGAAGTATCAGTGTAAAATAACACTTTAACTCACATTAAAGGCCAATAACTACCAGGAATATCAAGATTGATTTCCCATTTATTTGTGATTTTGCAGGGGTTCAAACCAGTGAATAAAAATCAATTTTCTTGGGGCCGGCCCCATGGCCGAGTGGTTAAGTTTGCACGCTCCGCTGCAGGCAGCCCAGTGTTTCGTTGGTTTGAATCCTGGGCGCAGACATGGCACTGCTCATCAGGCCATGCTGAGGCAGCGTCCCACATGCCACAACTAGAAGGACCCACAACGAAGAATATACAACTATGTACCAGGGGGCTTTGGTGAGAACAAGGAAAAAATAAAATCTTTAATAAAAAAAAAATCAATTTTCTTTTCATATAAAGGGAATTTGTTACTCCACTATTATCTTCAGAATCACTGTAATAAAAACCCTACCTGAAAAGGGGAATACAAAAAGGAGCTTCAAGTTCTCAAAAAGCTGTGCAAAAGGTCTAATAATTGACATTAAAAACAAACCAACCACTGAAGGACTGGCTCCCATTCTCGTTCTGATATTTTGCCTCTGCTCTCTCTCTCAGGACAGTGGTTTCAAAGCCCATTGTGGGTCAGAATCACCTGAATTGCTAACAGAGCTTACAGAAGCCCAGGATCGCTGAAACAGAAAAAGCCTGCTCTCGCATCTTCACCGAGTTCTCCAGCGAAGGTTTCCAAACCAGGCTGATCAGAATCACCTGAGAAGCTTTGAAAAACAGCAACCACCACAAATTCCCAGGCTTCGCTCCGGGGAATTTTGATTCAGGAGGTTTGAGGTTGGGACCCAGAATCTTAAAACCTTTTATTTTTTAATTTTTTAACAAACTTCCCAGGTGGTTCTGATCAGTCAGATTTGGGAACACTGATTTAGGACACTTATTTAGAAAAGTGTCTCTCAAAGAACTCGAGGCCTCTGAGTTCACTGAGAATGTTCCTAACTTTGGGTAGGTTATAAATCACCATCCTGTGAGAATTAAAATTAATTCTGTCTAGAAATGATTCGAAACTAAAAATCCTACCCGATTTAGCACTTAAATTACCTAATGATTTTCTGTCTATCGCCTCTCCACCCCCAGGCGCAGGTCTGTACATAACACTGGTTTCCCATGGCTGTTAAGTGTTAGCCATCCAAAGTACTCACAAGCAAGTTGCCTCATGGGATTTTGTTCTGTTAACCTCTCCCTCCTCTTCCACTCAGACTCCCAGAGCTGCGAGGAACAGACCTATTTCAGGGCATCACAGCCGACCGCGGTCACTTGCAGCATTATGCATCAAGACATCCCCCCAGGAACACCCGTGGGAGGGAGACACTAGAAAAGCCTAACGTGAGAATTTCTTTCTTTGGGGAAAGAAATGCTCTCATTACATATGATAGATAGTCTTGACTACTCTTGAAGAGAAGACAAGAGAAAGCTAATTGTGACTTTAGAAGCTTCAAAAATACAGTGACTTTTCGGTCACCTCCGGTAGTCCAAACCCAAAGACATGCAGCCCCTCTCCTTCTGCATCTCAGAATCAGATGTTTGAATTGAAAGTCCAAGACAGAAAGGATCTGAAAGCAATGAACTACAAGGAATTTGGCAAATGGCTTTTGATCTCATTTTCCTTGCGATCTGAAGTCACATCAGACTGAGAAATCAACATACATCAAAAGGAAAAATAAGCTCAAAAGCAGGTCAGCGTTATGATCCTTAAAACAAAGATGCTGATTTCTAATCCTTCCCACAAATCCCACATCACAAATTGAGAGATGAGACAACGATCTTTCTTATCCAGAAGGCACTAACTGGGCCACATGAGCCAGCAGCAAGTGAGAACCAACTTGCAGGAGATGCAGAAATGCACCTGGCTCCCAGGTGTCTTCTCTCAGTGATGATGGCCCTCCTCACTGAAGAGTGAGCAAGAGACAGTTCAAATGTACTGAATAAAATTGCTGGGTGGGCGGCCAAAGGGAAGAGATGAAAGACCTCCTAGAACTGGGAGGGAAAACAAGCCAAACACTATTAGCAGCAGGCCCAGGGGGAGGACGGCTTGGTTTTCAGGTTGATGTAGTCCCCTTGGGTGGACGAAGACACATCTTCTCTGGAATTGCTCATCATCTTTTCAATGAGGACTCTAAAAAACAAATAAAAATAAGGCTGAGAAGGTAGATGGAGGAAAGGGAGAAATGGCGGACACTATCTTATCAGCAGATGGCATTCAGTAAAGCCACAAGGTTTAAATGCCCCATTGTCCCCAGTTATCTCTGGAGAGAATACAGCATCCCTGACCTTCAGAAGCTGGTATTCTGGTGACTCGGTCTCCTCTTGTTTGCTCACAAAAAAGAAAAGACAGTCCAAGGCATGGCAGTGGCAGGTGGGTAAACCTATGTGTCTATCCCCAGAACAGCATATGCTACTCACCTCATGGCCTCATTAATATTTTTGTTCTCCTTGACTGATGTTTCTGTCCAACCTGTGAAACCGTTCTCTTTACTGAATCGGTCAACCTGGTCTCGGCTCACTGCCCAAGGGGACAGATCACACTGGCAAAGAGAATAAATAAAAGGCGATCTCTTAACCTTCTGGAAAGAGGAACATGGCTCAGATACTTGCAGATTTCAAACACTTCCACTCATGGTGAAGAACACCAGCATCTAGAAATCCGCAGTCAACATTCTTCCCAAAGAAAGTCTCAACATTCCTTGAAAAGAGGTAGAGATGATTTTTCCAACATGAGAAGGGAAAGTGGATGCCCAGAATCAGAGAGCATTTTAGATACGGTTACTCTCTGCCCACAGACAAAGGCCAGGGGTCATTTCCTGGAATGACCACATACCTTGTTCGCCAAGAGCAGGCAGGGCACGGGCTCTCCATTAGGCAGCGTGAGCTTGCTGTCCAGGTCCTGTTTCCATCTCTGGCTGTTGCTAAAGGTAGTGGCATTGGTAACATCAAACATAATAACACAGGCAGAGGCATCCCGATAGTACAGGCGTGTCATAGAAGTGAAACGCTCCTGCCCTGGGAAGAAAGGAGAGTTCTCAAGGTGATCTAAGACCAGGCTCAGAACCTGACACCCTGCCCTTTCTACCTTCATTGGGGGGGGGGGGGGGGGTAAGGCCTAGTGGCTGAGTCCAGCTTCTGCACCCAGACGGCCCAATTCCAAACCCCTGCTCTGTCATGTACCACCCATATGACTTTGGACAAGTCAAGCTCTCAGTGCTTAGATTCCTCATCTGTAAAGTGGGGATAAAAGCAGTAGCTTTTATCATAGGGTTGCTGTGAGGATTAATGAGTCAGTGAATCTAAAATGCTTAGAAAAATGCATGGCATGTAATAAGAGTTAGCTATTATTATGACAGGCTATTTTCTGGGGATCTTGTTTCTCACCAAGGTCAGCTGCAAACCTAGAAAAAGCACCCTCCCCCTGTCGTGGAAGTATCCACCTATGGTCTGGTCACGGTCAACCCACCACCTTGCAGCCGCTCCACCCACACAGAGACTGCTCCACGTTTATTTAGGGCAAAACATCCGCAGAAGACATTGAGAACAGCCCTACATCTATTTAGCGTGTGTATCCTCTGAGCAGCTCCATCATTCCAGCTTCAGAAAAAGAACTTCTGGTTTTGTCGCCCTCCTTGATCTCTGAGAGCTTGCTGGTTAAACCAAAATTTCTTCCCTTGTTCGCATCTAGTCTTCCCAGCCTACCTGCAATATCCCACAGCTGGAGCCGCACCATCTCTGAGTCAGACCACTGGAGAACTTTCAGAGCGAAATCCACTGAAAATGCACATACAATATACTTGAATGAAACTTATCTTTAAAAAATCCATGAAGAAATTCACATCAAATATGCAGTTACAACCCCAGGGACACACAACTCCAATCTCATTTAGTTATTTATTTATTTATTCATCTATTTATTTATTTTTAAGCCCTCGATGGACTGAGATGAGCCCACACTCATGTATTAAGCGTGGGACAGATCATTCATACTCACTCCCTGTAGGATCTCCAGCTTTTACTCTCTTGTCAAACAAATTTACTTGATACTACTTGTCTCCAAGGCTGGGGATAGGAGGGTGAAACTGATTATGAAAACAACGTCCTAAACTCAGGTTAAACAGTTTCTGGGAGATTTAGGGGGTTTTCTCAGGGAAGAAATGAGTAGAAGGGGGAAATGAGGTGTGCTGAGTTTTGCGTCTTCCACATTCAGTTTCACTGCTGGCTTCTAATCCAACACACCCTTGGGAGACTTCTACATCCTCCATAAGGCTGTAGGAATTATCTTGGGCAGGGATGGGATTAAGTGAAGAGGTCCCAGAGCATCGCCAGGAAAAAGACACTGCGTGGATGACGTTTCAATATGCTGGAATCTCCCACCCCATCTGTAGATACTGAGACCCCATGGGTTAAGGCTGAACGAGTATGCCAGGGGAAATGAAAGCTAGGGGAAATTCAAAATAAACACTGACAAAAAATTAGCCAGAGTCATTTTTATTCTCTACTAAAGTAAAACTAGAGCAAGTGCTAGAAATTAATTAGTGGGACACTTTTAAACCAAATCCATGGCATAGGGACCCCCATCTTATTTAGGAGTAGTGGGGGCAGAATGGGCAGGAAACAGTCTTTGAAACGTTAAACCCTCATTTTGCTGGATGTTCTTAAGGAAGATGGCTAATTTTTAAAAATTTCCATAATGAACACCAGCACACATTTTCAAAATTTAACATTACTGCAAGTTTTTTTCCTTAAAAAACATTCTTTTAACAGAGATAAATAAATGTACGGTCCTCTCCCCGTTCACCAGCTCTTCCCAGCTAAGCACCTTCTAATTAAATAAAGGGCATTGCTACTTCTGAAAAAAACAGCTGAGTCCAAACGTGACACTAGGAAAGAAATGAATTAACTCTTGGGGTTCCCTTCCTTCCTTCCCTCCTCAGTTTGAGAGGAAAAGGGGTGGGAAGAATATTTCACATTCTTTGAAGAATTCCCAGGTTGCCTTTATTTAAGCAACCAACAGACAATAAACACACAGCTCATCAGCCCTGGTAAGCATCCCACTGGGTGGCCAAGGGGCTCTCCCATGCAGGCACCCCCATAACAAAGCTGGGATCCTTGAGGCCAGGCTAAACACCATTCTGTTCTTTCAACAGCTGCCTGAACTCCTGAGAGAGGCGGGACGACAGCCCCAGCTGGCACCTCACCAGGGGGTCTCGGCTGCCTCTGCTGAGCGCAGCGATTGGCCGGGACCGCTTGGAAGGTGCAGGAGGACACTCGGGTTCGAAGGGCCCCCCGCAAAAGGCAGCAATTGCTCCTTTTCTCATCGTCCCTTCCCATTTCTCATCTTCACACCTTCGCCCTCTCTCTCCACGCAGTCAGGTCAGGCTGGGAAAACCTAACTGGAGAAACCCAAGAAAGCCATGCCAAACACCCCGCAATGACTCCTCCAGGAGCCGAGACACCTACTTCCTGACCCGAGGAAGGGCGCAAGGACCTGAGACCTCCCGTGCCCGACCCCGCTCGGGGCCTCTGGTCTCCCCGCCCCCACGGCGCGTCTCACCTCCCACCGTGGACTTGTAGTGTTTGCTGAAGCTGTCCTGGGAATAACGCTGCACCAGGGACGTCTTGCCCACCGCGGCGTCCCCCACCACCAGCACTTTGAACAGGTGATCGCGGCTGCCCATGGCTGGCGGGGTGGACCTTTCGGGGAGGCGGGAAGTGGAGGAGGCGTTAATTTTAACCCGTTAGGCTCCGGACCCCTGCAAACTGAAGTTAGGCATCCCCGCCCGCCGGCGTTGGGGCTGCTGTGACGAGAAAGAAAAAGGGAAACTTTGCGCTCCACCTATACGCGCTTCCTCCCCGCGCCGCCGCAGCCTGGGTGGGGGCAGGGCGCGAGCTCCAGGCCGCCTGCTCGCACCTTCTCCCCCTCCCGGCCCGGCTGCCGGGAAACAGGACCAGGCACCTCGGTGCCTCACTCCCCGGGACTTCCCCCGAACCGCTCCAGCGGGCGACTGGGCCCAGGCCAGCTCATTTCACAGTCGGGCCAGAAGATGGGGGCCCGCCCCTATTTGGCACAAACCAAACTCGGGGGAAGGAGGAGCCCACACCCTGACTCCCTGGACCCTGTGCCGCCCCAAGCGGCGCGGTCCCTCCCGCCTTCGTCCGCCCTGCTCACGTGCAGAGTCGCGCGCCGCACTACATTTTCCACTTCACCTCGTAGGCAAGGGAACCAGCCCAGTGTGGGGACTCGTCCGCGAGGGCTCCTGGGAAATGTAGTTTCTGCACTATTTTAAAAAATCTACAATTGTAGTTTCAAGGCTTTCAAACTCCTTCAACCGTCCAGAATCTTATTGTTAAATAATTCTAGAATAGGAAAGATCGTCCAGAGGCGATTTGTTCGACATGATCTCACCTGCCTAAATCCATTCCAAATAGATTTCTCATTGTCTTTTGAAGGTTTTATGGAGCTAAGATTAAAAATTATTCCATAGATTGCATAAAGTATTCCACTAATAAAAGCTGAAGCCTCGTCCCTCATGCTCCAGATGTCCATTTCCTAGTCCTTCAATTACATAGGCAAACCTAGGATCTTGTGAACATGCTGAAGGCTGGCTCTTATATTTCCTATATGACCCAGTATCTCTCAAGTTCAGGGACACTTGCCCAAGAGACTGACCCTTAAAAAACCCATGCCATTGAATGGCAGCTATGAACATTTAATAACCAGCCACAGCAGTGAAAATAGTAAACAAGAACCAGTTCCTGGTTCTCACTTCCACTATCTCTACTCTCGATACACTAGTCATGTATCAGTTGAGCTGGAAGCCAGTTGCAGTACACTGGGAGTCCTCCTCGAGGTGTTGCTGCTGTTGCTCATGAGTGATGATTAAACTTGCAAATAATTTTAATTTTTCAACCTGTAACTTTTCTGACCTGCCTGTCCTTTAGGTAGGAGTTAATGGGACATGAGCTTCATGGCAAGCAAAATAAGCTCTATTTTCTGTGCTTTTCCCAGGAATAGAAGAGAAAGCAGCAGGGCCTTGGGAAAACCCGGGTCTCTGGATAGAGTGGCCACCACTTACATCCCGTGAGGAAAGAACGTCAGCAAGGTTCCCAACTTATTTAGCCCAAAATGTTTGTTCCCCCGGTACAGGAGGTCAGGCTACCGTACTCATCTTTCAGGATGTCTCAGACCCCTTTCCAATGGTCTTTTCTCCATTCTCGTTGGCTTTGACGTAGTTGACCACTCCTTGAAACTTATTTCTCACGTGGCTTCTGTGACACTGTTCTTCCCTGCTCTCCTCCTGCCTCTGTGATGCTCACCTTTTTCTTTCGTGATTTCTTTCCATGCCATCACCCCCTAAGGGAGCACGTATGTCCTAATGCTTGATTCTTAGTTCCTGAGCTCATCGTTCTTTAAACTTGTTACCTTGGTGAATTGCTTTTAGCTTTGATAAATAAATGAGAAGCAACAGGATACACTGGAGTATAGGAGGAAGCCATTTGGTTTAAAACTAATTCAGCCTGACCTTGTTTTTCCAAGAGGGCCTGGTGTGGCCTGTTGAGCATGCATTGTACATCTGCTTTAAACATTTACAAGGTCCCAAAGACAAGAATGATGCCCTTAAAGATAGGGATGTGGCTTCCCCCCATTATCAGTATTTCCTGAAGGATAAGCATCTCTTCCTAGAAACTAAGGATTAATTACTTACCTGCTGTGTTCACCTTGTGACCCCTGACCTGTGCCAGATAAACATCTTGTGACAGTAGTAAAAGAGATGTTCCTGTCATATGTGATGTATGCCCTTTGTTTCAAGACAGTGTATAACCACTCTGTACAACCCACTCGGGGAAGGAAGTCCCCCAAGGCAATACTCAGACGTGGCTCATAATAAACTCACCCCAAATTTTGATTTGCACATTGATTATGGATTATTTGCATTGACAGCTTCAAATATCTCTCTTTGTTCAGACTATTTATGTCCTTATGTCCAATCAATCGTGTTCCACTGCCATAAAGGCACCTCCACGTGATGTCCTGCCAAAGCCTCCCTGTCACTACCTCACCACAGAAACTCCTTCTCTCAGCTTCCTTGTTTCTGTCACTGGCCTCATCATTTTTTCCCTCCACTCAGGCTTCAGACCTCAAGAATTTTTAAAAAATATTTATTTTAGGGGCCGGCCCGGTGGCGCAGCGGTTAAGTGTGCACGTTCCACTTCGGTGGCCCAGGGTCTGCCGGTTCGAATCCCGGGTGCGGACATGGCACCGCGTGGCAAGCCATGCTGTGGTAGGTGTCCCACATATAAAGTAGAGGAAGATGGGCATGGATGTTAACTCAGGGCCAGTCTTCCTCGGCAAAAAGAGGAGGATCGGCAGATCTTAGCTCAGGGCTAATCTTCCTTGAAAAAAAAAAAAACTTATTTTATTGTGGTAGGAACGCTTAACATGAGCTCTACCTTCTTAAGAAATTTAAAGTATGCAATAAAATACAAAAAAGTACAAATTTCCAAGTGTGTGATATAGCTGCAGTGTTGCACAGCAGATTCTAGAGTTTATTCATCTTGCTTAGCTGAAACTTACGCATATTGATTAGTAACTCCCAATTTCCCCCTTCCCCCAGCTCTTGGCAACCACTATTCCACTCTTTAATTGTATAAATTGGACTATTTTAGATACCTCATATAAGTAGAATCATGCAGTAGTTGTCTTTCTGTGACTTGGTTACGTCACTTACTATAATGTCCTTAAGGTTCATCCATGTTGTGGCTTATTGCAGAATTTCCTTCTTTTTGAAGTCTCAATAATATTCCATTGTATACATATACCACTTTTCTTTATCTATTCATCTGTCAATAGACATTTAGGTTGCTTCTATATCTTGGTTATTGTGAATAGTGCTGCAGTGAACATGAGAATGCTAATATCTCTTTGAGATCCTGATTGCAAATCTTTTGGATAAGTACCCAGAAGTGGGATTGCTGGATCACGATAGTTTTATTTTTAATTTTTTGAGGAACCTCCATACTATTTCCCATAGTGGCCATACCATTTCACATTCCCACCAACCGTATGTAAGAGTTCCAATTTCTCAACATCCTTGCCAACGTTTGTTGTCTTTTGGGTTTTCTGATCATAGCGATCCTGACAGGTGTGAAGTGATATCTCATTGTGGTTTTGATTTGTATTTCCCTGGTGATTAGTGACATCAAACATTTTTTCATATACCTGTTGGCTGTTTGTATGTCTTCTTTGGAGAAATGTCTATTCAAGTCCTTAGCCTTTTTTTTTTTTTTTTTTTTTGGTGAGGAAGATTGGCCCTGAGCTAACATCTGTGCCAATCTTCCTCTGTTTTGTATGTGGGATGCCACCACAGCATGGCCCAATGAGCAGCGTGTAGGTCCATGCCTGGGATCTGAACCCGTGAACTCCAGGCCACCGAAGTGGAGTGTGCAAACTTAACCACTATGCCACCAGGCTGGCCCCTTGGCCAATTCTATTAATTGTTTTTTAAAATAATTAATTAATTATTTATTATTTTTTATTAAGATTATGATAGATTACAACCTTGTGAGATTTCAGTTGTACATTATTGTTAGTCATGTTGTGGGTACACCACTTCACCCTTTGTGCCCTCCCCCCACCCCCCCTTTTCCCTGGTAACCACCAATCAGTTCTCCTTGTCTATATGTTAACTTCCACCTATGAGTGGAGTCATATAGAGTTCGTCTTTCTCTGTCTGGCTTATTTCGCTTAACACAATACCCTCAAGGTCCATCCATGTTGATGCGAATGGAACAATTTTGTCCTTTTTTATGGCTGAGTAGTATTCCATTGTGCATATATACCATATCTTCTTTATCCAATCATCAGTTTCTGGGCATTCAGGTTGCTTCCATGTCTTGGCTATTGTGAATAATGCTGCGATGAACATAGGGGTGCATGGGACTCTTGGGATTGCTGATTTCAGGTTCTTAGGATAGATACCCAGTAGTGGGATGGCTGGGTCATAGGGTGTTTCTATTTTTAACTTTTTGAGAAATCTCCATACTGTTTTCCATAGTGGCTGCACTAGTTTGCATTCCCACCAACAGAGTATGAGGGTTCCTTTTCCTCCACAACCTCTCCAACATTTGTCACTCTTGGTTTTGGATATTTTTGCCAATCTAACAGGTGTAAGGTGATATCTAACTGTAGTTTTGATTTGCATTTCCCTGATGATTAGTGATGATGAGCATCTTTTCATGTATCTATTGGCCATACTTATATCTTCTTTGGAGAAATGTTTGTTCATGTCCTCTGCCCATTTTTTGATCGGGTTGTTTGTTTTTTTGTTGTCAAGCTGTGTGAGTTCTTTGTATATTATGGAGATTAACCCTTTGTTGGATAAGTAGCTTGTAAATATTTTTTCCCAATTAGTGGGTTGTTTTTTTGTTTCAATCCTGTTTTCCCTTGCCTTGAAGAAGCTCTTTAGTCTGATGAAGTCCCATTTGTTTATTCTGTCTATTGTTTCCCTCATCTGAGGAGTCATAGTGTCTGAAAAGATTCTTTTGAACTGATGTCAAAGAGTGTACTGCCTATATTCTCTTCTGGAAGACTTATTGTTTCAGGCCTAATCTTTAGGTCTTTGATCCATTTTGAGTTTATTTTTGTGAATGGTGGAAAAGAATGGTTGATTTTCATTCTTTTACATGTGGCTGTCCAGTTTTCCCAGCACCATTTGTTGAAAAGAATTTCTTTTCTCCATTGTAGGCCCTCAGCTCCTTTGTCAAAGATTAGCTGTCCATAGATGTGTGGTTTTAATTCTGGGCTTTCAATTCTATTCCATTGATCTGTGCACCTGTTTTTGTACCAGAACCATGCTGTTTTGATCACTGTAGCTTTGTAGTATGTTTTGAAATCGGGGATTGTGATGCCTCCGGCTTTGTTCTTCTTTCTCAGGATTGCTTTAGCAATTCGCGGTCTTTTGTTGCCCCATATGAATTTTAAGATTCTTTGTTCTATTTCTGTAAAGAATGTCCTTGGGATTCTGATTGGGATAGCGTTGAACCTGTAGATTGGTTTAGGTAGAATGGACATTTTAACTATGTTTATTCTTCCAATCCAAGTACATGGAATGTCTTTCCATCTCTTTATGTCGTCGTCAGTTTCTTTCAAGAAAGTCTTGTAGTTTTCATTGTATAAATCTTTCACTTCCTTGGTTAAATTTATCCCAAGGTATTTTATTCTTTTCGTTGCAATTGTGAATGGGATTGAGTTCTTGAGTTCTTTTTCTGT